ACGGTTATGGTGGAGAGGTGTTGGCGCGCATGGGCGTGCGCACTAGTCCTGGTGGGCGTGGCGGAGGGCGTGGCTTCGCAGCGTGACCTCACCTTGCCACTCTTCCAGGAGGAGGTGGCGAGGTTCCCTGTCTTTTTCGACATTCCTGAGTCAAGGTGTGTTTCTCTATATCAGTCTATCTCTGGCTATGTATATATATATATATCCCCACGTGTGATATCGTATGTAGATATACGTGTCTGTCTCTGAACATATCCATGCATGCATGGTAGTATATACATACATATATTCATGCACCTACAAAGGCGAACATAATAATGCTGCTCCTGATAAAAATACAAATGATAGTCGCACAACAGAAATAATAACAATAACAATGTCGATACTAGAGTAATGATAATGCGCCGGCCTCTGACTCCTGCCTCCCCGCAGAGCCGAGGCGAGCAAGCGGCAATCGTTCAGCGCGTGGGGGGGGAAGCGGGCCAGCTGGCACCCGGGCTTGCGGTCGGGCTCGGGCCTCCCCCTCAGCCTGAGGGACATTTACCTACACCTGTTCAAGCAAGCAAGGTACAGTAATGATGGCAAACAATGCAGAAAATGGTAGTAATGAAGATGATGTTAAAAATACTAACATGAAGGTCAAAGTTAGGACAGGTTCGAGAACAAGGTCGTGTTTCCAGGACAAAGTCTTTATCACGAGCTCAACTGGAGGGCTGAGTGGTCGTGACTTTACTCGGATTCTACGAACAATAGACAAGCAAGCAAATGCTATCTACAGAATATGCTCCTGGCAATAACTGTTACCAACCTTGATTTAAGCTGTTTGTGGGCCCGGAATGGAGGGCTCTACGACGACAAGCCGCCTTTTATCTGAAATCAAACAAGCTATAGTTTAGGATCTCGCAAGTTTGAGGAACTGATCACACTGACGTATGCCTGATTTAGTCGTTCTGTTTCTTTTCACATTTCAGAGGAGCAATTCGCCCCAACGACAGCTAACAGCCGTCCCATACCGTTCGCCCTTTCCCGGCCGAGACGGGAAAGGGCGAACGGTATGTTCCTCAACATCGCATCTCAACTTCTTATTCCGGCTCCAGTGGCAAAGCTTATTCCCGTTTTTATATGTATACATTTTTATTGCAAAGGTGTCACTCTCTAAATCTTAGGCGGCTTACACTGTGCGGAATTGTCCAAGTCAGTATAAGATGAATACGAATCATTCAAAACTGCATGATATGAGTTTTTTCTGAGTAATTGTCGAGTAAACACTGCAACGTCACTATCAGAGAAAGAAATTAGGCTCACCCTTTCTGAAGTACAAACAGTGAGAAGAGCCCGTGTCCTTAAACGCCTGAGCAGACGTACTTAGTTCAGTGCTATGCAGAGTAAGCGATCCACAAGCTTTCCAAAAAGGGATGTGACAATAACACTGGTATAACCCAAATACGAGAAAAAGGCACCAACTTCTAATGTACTCATTGTATTTTTCGGTAGAGATTAATATCAAAACGGATGTACCAACGGGGCGCTTCCATTACTGCGGGCACAAAAATACGGGTCTGTCGCATTAGATAACATGAGTAACGTTTTTAGCCTTTATACAACACTTCTTTCAGTCTAATGAAGTGTTTGCTTGGATCAGAAACTCTAGTAGCGCTTGCAAGCTAATATACATACACGCTACATAAAGTATAATCAACATCAGTTATGAAAAATCTAAACGGAAAAAATACATATTTTCATGTAACGGGCATTTATAGGCAAGAAGAGTGAAAGTTAAAGGCATGAGTACGCTTGTCAAAGAACTAGGTCTGTGTAGAAAAAAATAGGACCGAGTAAAGATGTTCAGTATCATTTCCATGTAAGCAAAATGAAAGCATAAACTTAGCATTAGGATATGACAAAAAAGTTAAAAAAGGCAAGGGCAAGGTAATAGCATTCTCTAACCTCTCCCTCCCTCTCCCGACCAGATACCAGCCCTCCTCCGACGGGGAGCTGAAACGAGCCTCCTTCAGCCCCTGGGGCGGAAAACGCGCCAGTCCTCAGTACCTCTCCCTAGCACGCTCCCCATTCGAGGACGCTCCCGAGGGACCCCTGGGGAAAAGGCCCGCCTTTAGCCCGTGGGGAGGGAAGCGGTCCTCTTCTGCAGGACTCCCACTCAATGACCTCGACATGGGCTCTTCGGCGCAGCTGGCGGAGTCCCTGGGGGCGACGGGGAAGCGCGTGGCGTTCTCGCCGTGGGGAGGGAAGCGCTCTGTACGAGCCGTTTGGGGCGGACAGGGAGATGCCCTGGCTCTGGACGCTCCAGAGGTGCTCCTAGATGGCGACGAAGAGGACACTGAGGACGACATTTTCCCCTCCCCAGCCACCGTACACGACGCCCCGGGGCGGTTCAAGAGAATGGCCGAGGGAGATGACGGAGCCACTCCTGCCGAAGCCATGGGTGAGGAACTCCACGACAAGAATGCCACGAGGAGCGCCAGAGACACGCAAGCTCTCA